GTTTGCAGACCCTCAGCAGAGATGTGGATCCCTGTGACCTGCAGGGACAGGGTGCGACTGCTCCCGGTGGGTCTTTCCACAGCAGCGGCTTCTGAGCGACTCCAGTACAAGTGCCCGCCTCAGGCCTGGAGGTGCTGGTTGCTCAGGGACCATCCAGGGAAGGGTTGCTATTTTGAACCCAGCACCCAGCATAGCCAATGGCTCCTCTCCAGGGCTCCCTTTGTTACCCTCCCCCAGGAACTGGGTGACAGAGAACTGGAGACAGCTGCGGTCAGACAGCAGGGTGGAAAGGGACCCAGGAGGCACCTGAGCTAGGGGAGCGAGCCCGCGCTCCCACGGCCCCGTCCCAGGGGCAGCCTGACTCACTGGACTGGAAAGTCCTGGCGGTGGCGTGGTGCCCCAGTGTCCGCTGCCCCGGCCTCAGGCACAGATGTGCTGACCTCCTTCCTTGTCACCAGCACGAGCAGGGATGTGTTGGACTTGGGCTCACCCCACACTGTAGGTCCTGGAAGACGCACACAAGAAAAATCACAAACACTTTTTCTTCTTTTTCAGTTCTTTATTTTTACAAGTGGGTATGTTGTTCTCCTTTTTATTCTTCACCAGTTTATTTTCCAAATTCTTTTGTGTGCTTCCTACCTGTTTTCTTAATTTTTTCTGTATTTTTTCTTTTTCCCCCTCTTTCTTTTAAGTTTTCCCCCTGAAATTTTTTCTCTTCTTATTCTTTATAACTTTCTTTTTCGCCCTTCTTTTTTCTCCCTTTCTTATTCTACACTTCAGTAGTTTTTCTTGTTAAATTTCACTCCCTGTACAAACAGCCGTCCAGGCCGGTGGGAACCTTTGAGCCACCACACCCGGCCCTCATCGACTTTTGCTTTATTCCATCACATCGCTGTGAACTCCTGAATTCTCTTTAATCAGTGGTCTGCTATCCAATTACTAATAGAGTTTTTCTTTTTCTTTGTACCGAGAATCGAACTCGGGATCTTCGGCTGCTGAGCTACATCCCTCTCCCATAATAGTTTTTCTGACACTCAAGTTGTCTGTGACTCGGACAGTGTTAGCCTTTTTTTTATTTTTGTCTTTTTGAGACAGGGTATCGGGATGCAGTTCAGGCTGGCCTTCAGCTCACTTTGTAGCCCAGGCTGGTCTCGAACTCGCAAGGATCCTCCTGCCTCAGCCTCCCGAGTGCTGCAATTACAGGCGTGCGCTACCACACCGTGCAGGGAGCCCTTTCAAATTGTCTCCACCCTTGTAGCTTGATCTTATCTCTCTTCACCATTTCTTTACCGTCCGGCACAGCAACGTGCTTCGGGCCCCGGGACACCTTTCCTACATCAGCTGCGCAGTCAGCCGTTTCTCCAGGCAACTCTGGTTCCTTCCAGTGCAGAAGGCTACTTAGAAATCTGGGTACTGGCTGCCCTCATTACTGTCAGGGTGCTGCTGCTCCCAGGCCCTCTCGGGACAGAGCTAGGAATATATTCACACACACACACGCACAC